TCCAACCACCTAAGGCTTGTGGCTCCCTGGATCCCAAGGTCAGCGTTTTCAAATCTTTTGTTCCTCTGGTGGCACACTGGAAGGGCAGGAAAACGCAATAGGAGGCAGAAAGCGTTGCTTTCCGGAGTGTAATAGCTTTAGCTGGGATGTAACACACTTCTGTCTAACGAATACTTGTCACAGTGCTCCCTACGTAAACAAGAGTTGTACTTGTTGGACTAGAATCACATCTCCGTTCTGCTCGAGTAAATCTGAAATAGCTCAGCTGTAGCCAATGGAGACACTGCAGATGGAAATGACAGGGGAATTTGGCCCATTGTTAAAATATCTTCATGTAGAAACAATGTAGGAAAATTGAACTATGACCAGGTTCCTTCATTATGGGACAAATTGACTCTAAATTGAACTCTCTGAAGTCGGTGAAGTTACACAGGTGTGAAGAGAGCACACAGAAGCCAGCCTTGTTTGAACTACTTCATCCAAAAGGAACAAGTATTTTGTTCCTTTTTTTTGCATGTTATTAATAAATGGAAGTTTCTTTGCCATGAGCATTATTTTTTTATATATATATCTCAAAATTAGAGATGGGCTTAGGCCTCTAAGACACCCACTTCAAAGCTCCTTGACATTGGAAAGCTCAGACTGAATCAGACTTTTGTAGTTCAATCATCGTCTCTTTAATAGGCTTAAACTGGAATTACAAACCTGGATTAACCAAAACATGGAGGAACACTTAGTTCTGTATTATGTCCTAAAAGCAAACCTGTTTTTTAATCTCTTTGAATCTCACAAGTTTAGATCCTATTACAGAACTGTACTTGATAACTCTGACTTAAAAGTTACTGATTTTAGAAAAGCCGAAAGTTTGCAAAACCTTCAACATGTGGAGAATTTTTACTTGAATTGGAAAACTCTTTCGAGATGCAAAGATTTATTCTGGCTCAGCGAACTTTAAGCCTAGAAGACTGGAGATTGACATGACATCATAAAGGTCCTTCTTTAAATTAGCTGCCATTTCTGCTGATAGTTCAGGTGAGCGTTTGGAAGGATGAGCAAAACACAAAAGAAAAGGTATCGAAAAAATTCTGAAGGCATTCTAACTGTTTCTCTTCACTCTGTTAATTTTTGGCTTATTTCTCTCTGACATCCAACTTAGTCTCATTTGAAGTGCTCCTTACCTTCTTGCTGTACTAAACCTTTTCTGCTTCCAAAAGTTACACTACTTCTTTACTTTCCCAGGATATATCAGCTGGCACTAAGTGGGAAATACAAAAGCAAAGGATAAGACTGAAGCTTAGTTGATATGTTCTACATTCAACGGGCTATTGGAAACTGATCTTTTTTTTCTTTTTTTTTTCTTTTCCTTATATTAACAATTTCACACTTTCCTTTGAAATGCAGGAGGCTTATGAGCTGCAAGAGCTACACTGTACGTGTGAGTTACTTGTTCTTTTACCCCTTCCAGGATGAAGTCGTCACCTGCATCAATAAACCTCCAGAGCTATTTTTGGTACGTTCCACTGGGCTCAGTGCCTCCTGGGGGTTCCTCTGAACCTCGCTGTGCTGCCTTCCATGGGCTCCGTGGCAGGTCCAGGCAAAATGTGCTTAACAGTCCTGCCAGAGAAATACACTGTGCTCTGGGAACAGTGATCCAGAATAACTCACTTAATATTCTGAAGCTGTTTTGGTTTGGTTTTTTGTTGGTTTTTTTTTTTTTTTTTTATTCTGCTGTGGTTTATCCAGTTATTTAACATTTTCTGATCCATGATCTTGCTAGTAACTGATGCTCCTGACATAAACGTTGTCATGAGAAGAATTAAGCTGACAATGGCTTAGCTTCGGCCCTTCTTCCCTCTTTGATAGCAAACATAGTTCTGGCACCCTTCCATTTCCAGAAAGATGAGTTTAAAAAGTCGCTGCCCTTCTCCAAAAGCCTGACAAGGAAAGGGATTTGGTGGAGCTGTCAGAAATGCAGATACTAAAGTGAAGGTCACAAGTTGTTATTCAGGCACACGAACAAGTGGCCTGATGTAAAATATTTAAAAAAAAAAAGAAAAAGCAAAAGCCCTTTCTGCTGCAGGGTTGAAGTTTTGGAAACTTGGGTTTGGAAATTTTTGGGGCCCAATAATTTTCTTGGTGCAAAACACACGCCAAAGTTTCAGCAACAGAATTGCTCAGATCTTTTCCTACCTGCTCCGCCGAGCAGCAATTAGCACCACAGTGGCATTAACAGGACAGCTTTACAGGAGCTTTCAAAGTGCAAACGTAAAGAATCTCTGAAAGGCCGACCACTTGTAGAATGTGAGAGGGAAGCTCCAGGGCTGGTTTTTCGGAGGCTTTGCCCGCAGGCGGTGTCACCCTTCAGAGCCATCTGCCACCCTCCGCAATCACTGCGCCTCCCTGGCTCCCCCAAGGAGGGGAAACCTCCCGCCTTCCCTACTCCACCTTTGTGTTTCCTTTCTGGCAGTAGGACAGACGGACGGACGGACGGACGGACGGATGGATGGATGGATGCTGCACCTCTCCGGGTGCCCTCTCATCCACATTTGCCGTAAACACCCAGGACACCTGTTTACTCTGACTCACCCACTCCCTCACGCAGACTCTCCCTTTTTCTGACAGCAGACCTCACTCAGGTAGTATGTGCTGCTAATATCCTTTCAGGACCATGTAATAACATGCCTTCTATCCAATTCCTAACATCCTTCAATCGCCTCAGCCAGTGGGCTAACTGCTTACTCCCCTGTGATTTATATAAGTGCAATTAATTTAAACTGCATCACTCCGGTGTTATGCTGGTGAAAATGCCCCGAGAGGGAGTACCTCACTGGTGAATCAGACCCTTTACTTTTAACAAACACACAAAAGAACAGATCCCGAGCCAGTGAAAATCTGCATGGCTCCATTCATTTCAACACACAAACTTAAACCAGCTCAAGGGCTGAATCACAGCTCATGTAACAGACTATTTAGATACAGGCTAATGCCTCACATCCTGAAATGCAATGCTTTCCCAGAGCTGGCAGGGGACGGGGACTTCTCAGATGGAACAGAGCTGAGGGGGGGAGCAGGACCACAAGTGCAACCTTTTAAAAATGCTTTGTGGATTTCTCCATTTCTGTGGAGTTGAGGAAAGCAACAGCTTGTGTCTCTTCAAGCACAGCTCTCCCTTCTGGGAAGAGCTGCCTCTGTTCCTCCACCCCAGCTGGGGAGCAGGTACCTGGGAAGTCCCTTTCCTTGCCACTTTCCCTTTCCTCCCATAGCCTGGGTGTGTTCCCTGCAACCTGGACATCCGTGTGACGCCTTTCACTGACAGGAACCAGAGTTAGATGTTGAGCAGCTGAATCTTTTGAATCAGTTCTTGAAAATGGCAAACTTGTTCTGCACTTGTTTCGGCATCCCCAAGAGTAAGAAGTCATGCAGCTCGACAAAGCACTTTACTCTTACATGTCTTAACAGAACCAGAGATGTTTTTTTAATTTTTTTTTTTTTTTGACATCTATTCCAACACCTGCTGCAAAAAAGGGGCTGGGGTGGTCTCTGTAAAACACCCCTCTGCACTGCCTCCTGATAGGACAGATCCTTAGCCGCACACCCGCACAGCATACCGGTATGTGCCCAGGCAGGTGTAGTTAATGCACAAGGAGGAGGGGGGAAGGGGTGGGGAGGGCAGCCCAGGAGTCAATCAGAGTGTAATTTGTGTTAGAAATTTACTAGCGTTCAGCTGTCCATATTTTCAAAATGCAAATATTTTAAAATTAAAAACAAAAAAAACCAAACCAACCTACCTGTGGCTGAACATCACCTCTAAATCAATCTAGATAACCAGAAAACTCTGTGGCACATTTAAGAGACTTTCATCCTAAATGAAATACATAATACAGATTATACCTTCATAGGAAATCAAGAGGTCCTAAATATACTAATGGAAAAGGACATTTAAGAGACATTTAAATTACCCAGTCTATAATTTTGGGGGGTTTGCTTATCTGTTCATCTTTTAACTGCTTTGGATAATTAGGAAAATTTCCTTGGCAGTGCTCTAGGAGGATAGGCAAAAGAGTGACATAACTACTCCCAAGGAAGGAAAGGTCGAGGTTTTGCATTCTGCAGATTTTTAAAGCAGAAAAGAGAGTATTCCTCATTTGAAGAGTCTGAAGCAGTATGCATACGATATAAAACTTATCACCCCGCTTTGAAATGTCATCTTTTCCAGGGCTTCTCCCTCTCCTTGAAGGCACTCACGGTATCTCGCTGGCCCTCCTGCCTGGAAGGGCACAGGTTAGGGAGGCACTGCAACTCGGATCCAGCCTTTCCTAAACGCAACTAGTCTCAGGCAGCTCCCAAAGGGAGCAGGCACACACTCAGTTCAAAGGCTTCCATGAGCTCTGCCGCCTAACTTGTTATCTTGTAGCGTGTGTCCCCCCCCCTCCTGCCCTTAATGAACAGTTTGTTCCATTGTAATTCTTATATCACACATCTGGAAACCAGACAGGCTTTGAAAAAAGGAGAAAAAAGAAGTTTTAGTGCTTATGACTTATCCAGGTCTCTGTCAGAAGGACAAAAAGAATTCAGCTGAGTCTGTAAAGCGAATTTTTACTATTATTATTATTATTACTTTTAGAGCACTTTGACCAACACATTTTTCTAGACAGAGATCCCGCAGAGCAGCATAGCCCCGCTCAGGAGAAGGGTAAAAACGCTCTCTCCTCCACGCCTTGCTCCTCCGTTCACAGCTGTCTCCAGCGGGAGGAGCTGAAACCCGACCCAAACCCCGGGAGCAGGGATTGATTGGATCCCTCCCGCCCAGCAGCCGCAGAGCCCTCCCAGAAAA